TAGTTTGCAGTACCAGCCCTTCAGCCAGCGCCTGTACCAGCTTATGCCAGCTTAACAAAAATGTTGTGGAGGATTGGACAATAAACTGCCTCTTTGCAACAATGAGCTGTCTTTCTGGGGTTGCCAGCAGCCTCCTCCTGTTCTCATTGTTGCAACAAAGACAGAAGATAGAATGTACTGACTAAGAGTACTGATCAGGACATGGTTTATGTGGCATCATAGTTAATAGAAGTACCATTGTTAGAAGAGGCGCTTGTTGATAGAGGAGGCACCTCTCCTCTCTTGTCATTTAGAACGACCGAGTCTTAGGTTTGTTGATTCAGTCTTAATTTTGGCAGGCCCTTCTGTTGAATCTTTCAACAGACTTGAAATTTTTAATCATGAGTTCCATGATAGATTAAATATATTTGAATGGTAAATTTTCCCCATTCAAATGTAATGTATTTTGTAATAGAATTGCTAAATTTTTGGTCTGCCTGTCTATCAAAAGGTACACATCTATGTTATTGGGAATGGCCCAATACAAAAATAAATACACAGTAAAAAGTGCATAGAATCCTACAGATGTATTGCGCCTGCCTCACTGATTGAAATTGCATGAGTTATTTGAAGAGGGGAATTCACTACTGGATTAAAATAGTAAAAAACAGAAACACACAAGTCCCTCAGTGCAGTACTAAGAACGCTAATTACTGGAAAATTAAGGTACAACAAAAAACCTTTAATTTTGAGTCAACAGTTGACAGTACTGACACAACTGCTTACTACTAGAAATAAACACCTCCACAGGAACTCATTACTAGTAGTTATTCCTACAAGCACCTCAGGCCCAAAACTACTGGTACTGGAGGTGTTGCTAACAGTGTTAATAGCAATACTGCTTACTATTTCTTCATAGCTATCCAACATTGCTGTTTTAGTGAGGATAGTGACAAAGACGCAAGACGCAAGATGCAACACATAAACTAACAAAAATGGGACAGAATAAGACACCTCTAGATTGCAACGCTACAATGAATTGATAGGTTGCCAAATACTGGAGATTCGCTGCTCACTGCAACGAATCAATAGCTTACTAACTACTGGTGGGGAAGCACCACTTGCTGCAACACATTGATAGCTTGCTAACTACTGGGCAATCACTGCACTGAATTGATTGCTACAAATGAATTACTAATTACTAATTGCAATGAAGCTATTAGCTCCTCAGTCTAGCATTTGAATTAGCTTTGTCATTGATGGATATTCATTCACCTTATGGATCTTTTCAACTGCACCAAGCACACTGCTTCCTCTTTTAGTCAGCCTCTCCACACACTTCCAAACAATCAGTCTCTTGCAGTACTTGTCCCTGCATTTGCCTCTTTCTGCTGCAGCAAAATCACTGGTTGGCTTCCTTCCACCAATCCCATTCAACCATTCGTCCCAAAAAGATTGAATAGTCTTTAGATTAGGTGCAAGTGTTACAGGAGGGCCAGGGTGACTAGTACCAATAGTAGCATCATCAGCTACTACTACTTTTGCAGAGCATCCTTGTCCTCCTCTCCTCCTACTAGCACCACCACTACCAAGGCCACTAACAACAATACAGCCACCAACCACAATACTTTCAGGGGCTGAAGCCAGTACTCTTATTGTGGCTTGCAGTGATCTCAGCTGGCAATTTACATCAGCTAGCTCAAAAACTTGGTGATTGTGAAGTTTGCCAAGCTCCTGCTGGTAAGAAGAAATCTTGGCATAAATAGCATTCCTCCATCGCTGACCACCAGACCTAGTAGTAGCCATATCTTCTGTACTATCTGTAATCTCATCCATACTTACACACCCACTAACCTCTGATGGAATCACTCTTACTCTTTGCACTGGATTAATGTCCTCAGCAAGTGTAATCTCAAGAAGAATGAATTTGAATACCACTTGGTGCCTGATATCAGCAGGAACTAGATCAACAGTAGATGGTTCAAAATACGCCCACAGCAAGCTAAGCCCAAGGATTTTCAAAACACCAACCCCCATACTACTTGCATGCAATTGCAGGAGCCACTTCACTTGCAAGCCATTCATCTGTAATGTCATTTCCCTCAACTTCCTTGTATCTTGTTGCTCCTCCATCAGTTAGCTTGCTAGAACAAGAAATATCTGGCCAGTCTAACTGAATTGAAGTATATCTAGACTTCAGCCTCTTTCCTCCTTGCCAACACCCTCTTTAATGGATTTCCTGACAAAAGGTTCCACCACTATTCCTAGCATTTGCACAAGAGAACTTCCAAATAGTGTGAGTACCAAGCTTCCCTGCTGATGGTACAATGATTGCTGGGACAAATGCTTCACTTGTTAGTGCTGCCTTGACAGTCCTGGCATAATTTGACTTGGTTCTTTCAGTGTCAACCTCTTGCGCTTCAACTGGATAATGAAAATCAGTATCTCCCTCACCAAACAACCACTGACTAGTCCTTCCTTCACCAGAGGAAAGCCAATTCTCTCCTAGAAAAACTGCAAGCCCAACCAGAACACAATACAGCATTGTATCCAACACMCCTAGCAGCAATTGCTGAGGACAATGGCATTCCTCACTCACATTCTCCTTGGACCACTTCAACTTCATGCACAAATAATTAGTATAGCACAAGCTCTTGCAATCAGCTGATTTATTAGTCTAGATTTTGTAGGATTGCCCCTTTCATGAATCTCATCCCAGGCAGACTGAGTTATCATGAAATGAGATATTGCTTTCTTCCAATACTGTTTAGAGTTAGCTTGTGCCTCAGTAGGACAATCAGTATTACCTGGATCAATCTTTCCATAGGCCCTCCTCATCATGCTGCATTACCTGTAGAGATCCTTTGGCTTGATTGCTGTCTTCTCCCAATCACTGAAAACATGATCAAAAGGATACTTGCAACTGTTCTTGAACTCCATGAACTTGTTAAACATATTGCAGTATGTCCTAAGGGCTCTAGGGACATTCACCAATATCTCTGTTTCTGGAATGATCCTCTTCTAAATACATGTGTATTCTTATTTTGGGTATACTGTGCCGGGTTGAAGAAAAAGATCAATGCATCACCCTGGAATTCATGTATGACCCATATCTATCAACAAAGAAACCCAATACACAAGAAAGAGTACAATGCATGTAGTCTGGGTTGAGAGCTTTGAAACCGGCAAAACATTACACTGCATGCATTCCAACCAGAGCTTGTAACCCTAAAACTAGCTAGATCAGGTATTGTTTGCTGAAGCTTTTCAATCTTTAAAACTGGCACCATGGATGGCTCCTTTTCATTCTACTGTACAACTAGGTGCGTGCAGTAGATTCTCTTTCAAATAGATTAGTTTGCATCTATTCTCTCTGTTTTTTCACGTAGTCTTGGCAAAGCACCTGATTACCAGATCGTATGCAATCATTCGACTGGAGGTTACGAGCATTGCTCGTCCAGTTGATGGCAAGCATCCCTTGTAGAACGCACTGATACCTCTGAGTCTTCCGTTGACTGCGTGTCTTCTCCATAGTTCACGAACTTGTTCAAATGTGTTACCACTCTGAATCATAGTTTTTGCGACATCGAATGGATACGAGGCTACCCAGGCCATTGCACCCGTAATAGCGCTGGTTCCTGCTACGATCAAGACTCGATTGAAACTTTTCAGTTCGTCTCCAAACTCCTCACTGTTGTTCTTGGCGTTTGTTATCACCCAGTGGTAAATGCCAAGATAAACCATTGTAAAAATTCCTTCTCTCGCTAGGTTGAGCGTGAAGCCGCGATACAACTTCCGAACTTTGTTGACAACATTGGTGTACTGACCTACATTTTTTTCTTGCTCAAGAATAGAAATCATTGTCGACCTTCTTTGGCCTGACGAAAGTTGCATTTGAATCTTGATGTAGTCTGTTGGAGTGCTAATGATGGCTGTTGCAAAGCCAGACATTATTCCAGACACGAAAGGATTGTTCACCTTTGCTTCTACAGTATCAAAAACCGAAAACATAACGGAGTTCATAATCATGGCGTTCACTAGCGGAGGAGCCATCCCTCGAAACAGTCCGAAGCGCAAAGCTATGGCGACATCCATCGATTTATTGAGTTTCGGATTGGTTTGCAAATGGGTCTTAACGGTGTCCAAAGGATGCCCAAGGACGGTTGAGAATAGTCCTGCAACGACGGATCCCAGGATTTGTGCTTTATGATACTCCATTGCAATGAATCGAGTTCACTGACGCAATTGTTGTGACGACGGCTACCAGCGTTTCTTAATCAGATTTCCAATCACCTTCTTAAATGCGGCTTCGAATCACTCCCCCATTCTGTTTGAAATAGCCAACTGGATTAGATGATTCTTTTCTACATCAAACTGAACTAGAATAGAAGAGAGCGGAACAGAACGAGCTACTAGTTGCGGTCGAAAAACTCGTCGTTGGTGATAAAGGTTGTCATTCTACAATTAGCTGGCGAAAAAGGATACTCTTGGAAACAAGTCTTATGTTTTATCTCCTCCTCGCAACAAGGTGAATGCCAATATTCAATACGTTATCTGTAGAGTAAAGTGTCAATCTCCCAATGCGACGTGTTTTCGGATCGTTTGTATGTACCTTGCCGCAGGGGTACGTATCGTATGAACCTTCCCTTGACAGTACGGTACGGTATGTACCACCTGGGTGGGCAATTGGCATCCGTTGTCATTATTTGTCATCGTCGAACAGATAACAAAAACTACAAAAGCGTCTCAAATCGGAAGGTCAAAAAACATTGTGCCGGCATCAAAATTTTTGTCGTTCACTTCACAACCGACGACACCAACTCAAATTTTGGCGTCTAATTTCAAACAACAACCAAAATCCCCACTAATTTTTTAGATCTTCCATAGTAATCGGCTTCGACTCCACTAAAAATAAACGAAGCATATTTTTGGTTGCGAAGCAATCTTTTCTTAGATAAGTACTGTGCAATACTTACTTTACTTTTAACAGTTGTGACACACCTATTTTATATATCGTAACACGTTATCATTATTTGGCACTATTATTTGCCGCTGGTCCATCCAGTGCGTCTACAGCCATTGCAAGCATCTTTGTACCGATCCAAGAATGCCATACGGTACAAGCCCATACGGCAGAGGCCCAATCTTTATAGCAATCACCATGGAAGCTCACGGCAACTACAAGCCTGGTTACGACTCTGAATATGACACAGCCAAAAACGAAACGACCTCCGATGACCACCACCATGGGAGTGGAAGTGTTGAAAAAGAGGGAAAAAACGATGACTACAAGATTAGCTCTTATACCAAGATGAATTGCCCACCGTCAAAGCAAATGCGACAGCCGCTGTCTTCATCGTCTTCGCAGCGATCAACAAGAAGATTGCCTTCTTACAACAACAAGATTGTACAAGAATCTGCTAATAACTGCATTAACAGTCGTTTCGACCATGACACTTTTTCCACGGCCAAGTCGATGGCGTTGAAGTTTGCAAATCCATGTGGCCTGGACATGAACCAATACAACAACAATTATTGCCCACCGCCAAGGACACCATCTACCGTTGGAAGTAGTTTCAGTGACGATGAATCAGTTGAAACTTCTTCTTCACTTGCACAGCACTCCTCACACCCGAAAAGAAACAATCTCAAATCCAGATGCAGCGACGACAACCGCAGTGGCCATCCATTTTTGAGGAGAACTGTGATTCAACGTCGGTCGTCGAGAAGCAGTGAGGCATACTCACAATTTTCTACCGAAAAAGATGAAGGCGGCTACCCACCGCTCACACGAGGGATAGCTCCGAATTTTGATAAGAATGACGGCGAAGATGTGGTTATTGTAGTAGGCGATCAGGAGTATCCACTTCCACGGACAAATGAGAAGTTCGTTGTCAAGTATTTACTTAGTCGACAAGAGCGAGTAGACGATCACTTCTCGTATGTCGATCTATCCACACACTCGCCCAATGAATTCGAAGAAGTAATGGAATTCTTTGAAAACAACCGAAACACAGAGACATGGGACGAGATCCATTGGAAAAACATCCATATAATTCTGCCCTGGTTCGTCGAGTTCCAGTCATTGCCACTGATGACAGCGGTCGACTCCTTTTTGTGTCACAACGGACTGGGATCAGGTGGTCAAGGATTTGGATGCAATGACAATGGGAATACCAAACGTAATAAGCACATCAGCCTCTCAAATCTGCTCATCTTGACGCAAATTGCCTTTCGCTGTGGCTTGGAAAGCACGAAAAGTCATGCTCGGAGACTTCTGAAGCAATGTTTGCTAGAACCTCGCAAGGAATACGGTGGCTCAGACGTACTAGATGACAGTAACCACACCAACCGACCACCGATGGAAGCTGCAACAGAGGATATTGAATTGGAATGGACTTTGCATGATTTACAAATCTTAGCACAAACTTTGCAGGCATATTCCGATCTAAGGGAATACCTGTGGGATACATCAGTCATTGTATATTTGCCTCACGATCTCGATATTTCGAATTCAACTGAATTGGTTTCGAATGCGCTTTTCCCATATCTATTGCGCGAAGGAATGATGCAGATGATGATTGTCGAAGGAATCCGCATCGACTCATCCGCTGATCTATCATATTCACAAGCCAATGAGAGCAGTTTCAATAGCTCTGTAAGCATAGGGTTCTCGTATTCGGAATCCACCTCGTGCAGTGACACTACAATTCCTACGAATCCTGCTGCCCAGCGGAAGAATCTCACGCAGGAGGAGATGCGGGTCCACTTAAATGAGATAGTAATGTATTTGGACAAATTTCGCGCCGAAAAAGTTGCCAGGATAGAAATGCACAAGGAGCAGTTGGAGAATTCCCTTCTTGCAAACGAATCCTCATTTGACGACATCGGAGAATTATCTGTGGACGGTGTTACAAATAGTCGTTCAAGTCAGGATTATGGTAGTCGAAGCGACAAGTATGACTCTCATCAAGTGGAAAGAAGATCTTCAACGTCCTCTCGGGGGAGAGTGAGGGGGGTCTCAACGTTTGCATGCTGAAAAATATATTGAAAGCTCATACCACTATTTGGGATGACTTTGTGCAGAAAGAATTAAGACGTTAGTTATAGAAAATGATACGTTTTGAGCTTCTTTGAGCGTTGTTGCTCGCTTCACTTGCCTGTAAAGTGATACAGTCCAGTCAACAAAATCACTCGGTACTTAATTCGCATAAATGAATCACCATTTCACTCCGGGACTCGCAGTGCCAGTAGCATCTGAACTGGTTTTCGATGCTTTAGGATATAGCTAGTACGAGATCCAACTCTGATCTCATAATGGTTTTTGGTGTGTATAAATTGTACTTCTACGAGTGCAAGCCTTATCAACATGTGTAGATGAAATGACACGCACGCCAATGTAGATCTTAGATATTTTAAGGAAAAAAAGCGTCAGTTATGCTGAATCTGTCCATCATAACATCAGCTTTCTACACAGAAAAACAACTTACTGAAGTACTAGTACTACTACTACTAATAGGCACAACAATGCCCCCCATACTACAACAAGAATTTTCTTACGCCACCTGCAGAAGAGCAAAACCAAGCTTTACAGAAGAACACATATGTCAGATTACTTTTTTGTAGGCTATCCTTGGGTTGTTTGTGAGTTCTACTTTCCTGGGTTGCTACTTTTGATAGACAGACAGACCAGAAATTTAGCAATTCTATTACAAAATTTATCACTTTTGAGTGGGCAAAAATTTGTTATTCTAGATGTAATAGATCTATGCTGGTATTCACGATTAAAAATTTGAGTCCATTGAATGACTCAACAGAAAGGCCGGCCAAAATTAAGACAAGTCCACAAGAGTAAGACTCATTTTTCTTAAATAAGGATAAAGAAAGGCGCCTCTATCAAGAATGGCGCCCAAGCACCTCAAACTATTGTGCCACATAAACTATGTCCCAATCAGTGCTCTTAGTCAGTACATTCTATTAACTTTCTTTGTTGCAGCAAAGAGAGCAACAACAACAGAAGGAGGAGACTGGCATCTGCAAAAAGGCAGCTCATTGTTGCCATTTCAACGTGAAAGAGGCAGCTCATTGTTGCCCAACCCCCCACACTATTTTTGTTAAGATGCCAAAAGTTGGTAGCACGGGCGCTAGCCACAAGGCTGGTGCTGCAAACTACTCACACTATGAGCTCCATAGTCTCCTTAGATTGATACTGGAGAGGCTAACCATCAGTACAGATGACTGGAATCTCATTGTGTTAGAGCACACAAAAAGTTGGCCCTTCTTTAGAAGACAGCAATCCATAAGGACCAAGTACACCTCTGTTTAGAGGATTAAGCATTCCACAGGAAACCCTAACATGCCAGAGTATGTTAGGATGGCACACAAGGCCCATTTCTTGATTGGTCAGAAGACAAACATTGGTATTGGAGAGGAGGACTTTGATCTGGAGATTGGCTACATTGAGAGTGAGGCTGTGGAGGTTTCAGCACTCAAAACTGCTGTAGATCTTAGTCTTACTGATTATCTTGCTTGCTCCCCTCCCCCCTCCTGGACCAGCTCATTATTAGATTACAAGTACTGTTTGCAAGCAAGAAGCAAATTTTAAGAGTACTGATCAATTCAAGCCAAAGGAAACCAATCATTGCTGCTCTCTGCTCTTTCAACCATGATGGGAGTCTCTGGAGCTGTTGTGAGTGGATCAATTGCTTTTTCATTTGCCATTTCCTATCAATTGCTGTATCATATTGATTGCTGTATCATATGGTTTGCCGTATCACATTGATTGCCATCTCAATGATTTTCATTTATCTGGATGTGGTCTAACATGTGGTCTAACAACTAAACTCCCTTCATTGATGGATCAACCATGGGATTACCCTCAGAACAAGCCATTTGCATCCTGTGGTGGCAACTTGTGTCCTATGTGGAAGAATCCTCTGAGAATATCATTTTTTAAAATGGAACTGTACTGAAAGGATTTGGTTGTGTCCCATGGTACTGCACTGAAAATTATACAGGTTGACAAGGAGGTTCATGATGATCTTCCTCTCTCCTTTCTCTTCCAGGAATATGGGGTCTTTGATTCTTGGGAACTGTCCCTGGATCATCCTCATTCCTCATTCCCCATTCAGACATCTGTCTCAAGGACATGGCAACCCTACTCAACAATAGGAGGTTGTCCTTGTCAGGGTCCCTCTGTGAGCTCTTGAGGAGGCTATGCTGGTAATCTTTGAGTGCAAAGGCTTGTGAATCAACAACAACCTTAGCACCATTGTACTCATCATGAACCCTCACTATCTTTTGATAGAAGTTGTGGTCAGCAATAGCACTGTCATGCCACGTCCCAGGGCAGTTGTACACTGCAATCCAGATTATACCATATGGGGCAAAGGCAAACACACTGGTAACAAAGGTAATGCTCTTTGTTTGTACCAATCCTGAGATTGTTGAATGACACTCTTGAGCCCATTGCAGCAGCCCAGACTCAATGTTCTCCAAGCCTTGGATACTTCCTTCCAACTGCTTGTTCAACATAATCATTTACTTCTTGCTCAGTTGGAACACTGACCACCATGGTGTCTAGGTGTTTATGAAAAGCAACAAGGAACACTCTTCTTGTAAACTTGAGCCACTTGTACATCACTGTGGATGTGAAGCCAAATGCCATTGCCATCAAACTTTCAACCGTCGTGTCCAGTAAAAACATTCCAATGGCACACACAGCATCAACCTCCCTCCTTTCCCCCCTAGGCTTGCCACTGGGATAACAAGTAACCTCCACAATCTCACTGTCGGCATTGTCTGTGTACTTGTTGTACACTGGAGCAAACAGGTCAATAATCTCTCTGAAGACGTGCTGATGGTCTACATCATGGCAGTTGAGTAGTGGCTGATCAAGCCCTGACTGGAAGACATGGTGAAAGGGGGAGTGAGCATATCTACGGATTGCAATCCTAGGCGTCCTTCTGCCCCTTCTTCTCCTCTCTTTTGGAGATAGTTTTTGTAGATATGTCTTGTTTTGCTTGTCCTCATTCAACTGGATGTACCAGTACACCATAATAACCTCCATGACTCCCATTTTGTGGCCTTCTTTCTTGCTAGGAAAAATGTCTGGTCTAATAATGTGTCTATACTAGCTAGTGTAAGGAAGATAGAAATTTTTTATACTGTGAGTGAGTATCAGAAATTTGATGTCTTCCTTCTACTGGCAATGATGGTGCAAGAAGAATAAAATTTCAATGTATTTTTTGGTACCAAGAGGTATGCATGCCTCTTTCTGATCTTTACATTGAACTACTATAGTTAATATTCCAGATTCCCAAAAAAGCCGAGACTGAGCCAGCCTTGTCCCTTGAAAATTTGATTCCTGTCGTTATAGAATTGTGAAACATGCTAAATCTAGGGATTTAGTAATTCTATTATAACGCAAATGGCCCATTCAAACAAAATGACCAACAAATTCGCAAGGGACAAGATCAAAATGGGTGTGTTCCAGTTCACCGGAGAGGCCATGGGACAAAATCAAAGAAAAAGGTACTGCACCACAAACGGCTTATTACTGCACCATGTAGCGTAGTATGTACTCGTGCTGTGCGCACGGAAGCCCACGCTACTAGTAGAGCTATTAATGGTAAGTCCTGTACTGGCAAGTTATTGGCAATTCTAAACCTCCAGGGCCAGCTGGCTTGCCTGCCATGTGCATGTATCACCTGTAGATTACAGTAGCGTGGTACAAATCCTTCGAACTGTATGTACATGTTATTGTACAGCAAATTCAGTACTGAAATACCTCCATCCAATGCTGTACTTCTCGCATCCACCAAAATACAAGCAAGCACATCAAAACACATCAAAATGCCTCATCCACAAGCAAAACAACGCATTCCTCCTCATGTGCAAGTGTTCATTCATACTCAAGGAACCGGCATGCATATGCTTTGATACTCAAGGAACTGGCATGCGGATGCTTCATACTCAAGGAACTGGCATGCATATGCTTTGATACTCAAGGAACTGGCATGTGGACGCTTCATACTCAAGGAACTGGCGTGTAGACACTTGAATACTCAAGGGATCAGTGCGCAGAGGCTTTGAAACTCAAGAAACCGGTGTGCAGATGCTTCATACTCAACAAGGGACCGGCATGCGGAGGATTCCATACTCAAGCAACTCACATTTGCAGTTTGCAGATCTTCCTTATCGTTTACGGAGACTCAAGGTATTTGTAATACTCAAGTGCAGAGATACTCAAGTATGGATCTTCCTACTGAACAAGTTATTTGTGTTGTTTGTGGTTTGTGGTTTGCAGTTTGAAGATTGCAGATACAATACTCAAGTGTGGATCTCCTCATTCAAGTTATTTGCGTTTGTGGAAAGATACTCAAGTGTACTGGCGTGCAGAGGCTTTGATACTCAAGAAAACCGCCTGTTAACGTACTGATACTTAAGGAACCAGTGTGCGGAGACTACAATTGGCTTTCTTTGCGGATACTCAAGCAAGTCTGAAGGGTGTAGTGTCAAGCCAATATGTCTACTGACCAGCCAGTGATGGCAGGAGGAGAGCATATTCATCATGGACGTGATGATCTTTGTCATCATGGAAGTGGGGTATGTCACCATAAGGGCAACATTTGTGGGTATTCAAAGGGCTGCCATTTCTTCAAGCCAATCAGTGTTATCAATGAGAAATGACTGGATGATTTTGTACTAGTACAAGACAAATTTAACATTGGTTCTTCCCAAAAAGCAACAATCAACCAATCTATGAGGTACTGATATGGAATGCACAGTGATTCACTCCCACATGTTGCTGATGTGGAGGAGTACACTGGGCCCTCCGTTAGTTTTTAAGGAAGACAGTCACCAACCAAGATCAGGGATTCTCATAGGTTTTTCCATATTATAACAAAGAGAAACAAAGAGAGAATTGCCCAGGCAATATTATCTTTGTTTCTCTTAGTTAAAAATTGACGAATCAAAGATTCTCTTTGTTTCTCTTTGTTTAAACATGAAGAAACAAAGATAATATTGCCCAGGCAATATTCTCTTTGTTTCTCCTTGYATGAACGGGAATTGCTCCCATCATTTCACTATGTAAAAATACAGAGAATAGTGCCCAGGTTAAATTTACTCTGCTTAAACAAAGAAGAGAAACAATGAGAAAATATCCCAGGCAATATTCTCGTTGTTTCTCCTTATTTAAACAATGCGAAACAAAGAGAAACAAGGAGAGGCAATGTTCTCTTTGTTTCTCTTTGTTACAACAACAAGAAACAATGAGAATATTGCCCTTTTCAACAAAGAGAAGTATTCTCTTTGTTTCTCCTTGTTCCGCAGGGTGTACGGGAAACTATTTAATTATTAAAAAAATTCTGACTGAGGGCCCTGATGAGGAGTGCATTGTGATTCACTGATACAGACTAGGAGTACACTGATATAGAGTACACTGATATGGAGGAACTACACTGATACAGAGGAACTGCACTGATGCGGAGTGTGTGGTGATTCACTGATACAGAGTACACTGATACAAATTATGCTGATATGGAGGAGCCACTGATTTGGAGGAGGAGTACGCTGATACGAGTTGCTGATACACCAGCAGAGGAGTACACTGATACTAATTATGCTGATATGAAGGAGTACACTGATACTACTAATTATGCTGATATGGAGTATGCTGATACTACAGATTACAGAGGACGACGCTGTTGATATGGAGGACACTGATGTGGAGGAGCTCAGTTTTAAAATTATGAAATTCGAAGAAATCTGAAAAAAAATCAGGCAAACAAGAAGCAATGGGTAAAATGGGTTCAGTTGCTGAATAAATCCTGGCGTGGCCCTCAGCCATTCTCCACGCCAGAATTTTTTCAGAAGGTGAATGACAATTTTCAACTGTTTTTATTTCACTGACGGTTAACGGGATTTACCTGTAAAGATGAGCTAGAAATTTCTACTAGCATTTGTACGGGAATTGCAAATAACTTGCCAGTACGGGACTTACTATTAATAGCTCTACACCCTACCGGTACAATCGCACGTAAAAACAAAAGAATTCGATGAAAACGAAAAATATCCTAGTGCCGGGGGCCAATATTTCGTTGCGGCCGACGCGACCAACTTGCGAGAGGTACGGGTAGACTTTTTCTACCGTACGTACGATACTCAGTCTGCAAACTGTAGAACTTGGGGCGCCTCGCTGTGCGGCAATTTTTTCTGTGTAATACAAACTGAGCTTAGTATTTTCTATTGTAGTTCTTACAGTATCGCAGTACGACCACTCATTACGACCACTCAGTACGAGCACGCAGTACGAGCACGCAGTACGAGGACGAACTTGTAGTGTTCCGCGGAAACAAAAAATGGTGACACACGACACGCTGTTGCTGCAGACTCTCTTAACACTCGCGAGACCTCGACACGAACAAGGAGTTCCTCGTTCCTGTCAGAAAAGAGTACGAGTACGAGTACGAGTACGAGTAGGAGTAAGTAGTAGGGTACTCGTACTTTATCAAGTATTAAAATAGTTTACGACAACGAAAAAGAGTCTTCCCTTCGATTCCCTATTGAGAAGGCTCTTTCATATCACACAACACGTATATTCAACCATACATTCAGAGTAAGACTTGCAGATTTTTTCATCTATCTTGCTCTACTAATTTCAATCCGCGGAATCGTTGTTCGCTCTACTCATCAGCCAATCTAACAATCGACAATCGTCTCTTCGCGGTATAGAACGTGACTCAAGTCGAAACGATATCACATACTGATAGTACACATCGTACCCCTTAAAAATGTCCGACGACGATTACTCATACGAATACTCTGAAGAGGAAGACTATGAGATCGGGGATGATGATGATGACATGGATTGGAATTCCTCCGCAACTTGTACCATTGCATCTGAGAATCCGAACGCGGCTCCCACACTTGGCCTTGCAGGTAAGTTTGAAAGAAATTTAATAATAGTTGTGTGAGCCTGCATCATTTTTGTAGTTTGTTCCCGTCTTTGCACGAGCAACCTAGAACGCATCGTTTTATTCGTTCGTTCATCCCTAACCTGTTTGTTTTCTCTGCTCTGAAACTACCATTCCTCTTTCACGATATATTCACTAACCACTGATACCGTACTCGGATGCGCCAACTCTAATTTGAATCCTGGAAATACAACAATGACACGAAAGGAGTCTTGAACGGAATCCGAATCTCACCCGCGGATGATCTCCGTCCAGAGATGAAGCGTCGTCTCAAGGAAGTGACAGAAATCTTGGATATTCCGGAAGCGGCTGCTTCCGTGCTTCTTCGTGAACACAAGTGGTCGAAAGAACAGCTGTTCGAAGTCTTTTATGCAGATTCAGAGAAGTTACTAAAGAAGTGCGGGGTCTCCAACCGCTGCGACCCCAAAGATCCGATGAAGACAGATCCGGACGACGACAACTGCTGCCCAATTTGCTACGACGATATGGAAGATGGTCAGAAAATGTCGATGCCTTGCGGACACGAGTTTTGCATGAGTTGTTGGCATGATTTTTGTGCTAACGCTATTGAGCAAGAGGGACCCTCTTGTGTTTATGTGACATGTCCCGAGGCCACCTGCACAGAAGTCGTGACCGAGGTTGAATTTCAGAAGGCGGCACCGGATTACCTCCAGAAGTTCCAAACCTATCAGCTTCGCAATTTTGTTGAGTCCAATAGGCTCACTCGCTGGTGCCCGGGCAAAGGATGCGATCGTATCGCTTGCGCTCCCACAGCTTCGGCGATGGAACAAGACGGCAACGTTGCCAATTGCGATAGCTGTTACACTAGTTTCTGCATGGTTTGCGGCGAGGAACCACACGCACCTAGTGAGTGCAAAGACTTGGCAAAATGGAATGAAAAATGCCGCAACGAATCGGAGACAGCGAATTGGATTCTAGCCAACACCAAATCGTGCCCGAAATGTGCCAGCCGGATAGAGAAAAACCAGGGCTGTAACCATATCACTTGCCAAAGATGCAAACACGAATTCTGCTGGATCTGTTCTGGAGACTGGGCGTCTCACGGAGCAAACACCGGAGGATACTACAAATGCAACAGATACGATCCAAAGAGTACTGAGACGAACGATAATTCAGCTGCTGCAAAGGCGAAGCGAGAACTCGATAGATACCTCCATTACTACAAACGGTATCATGCACACTCGGAGGCCCAAAAATTTGCAAAGAAACAGCTCAAGGAAACCGAATCGCGTATGGTGATGTTGCAGGAATCATCGGATAATTCCAAGTGGACAGACGTTGAGTTTCTCAAGACGGCCAACGAGCAGCTCGTAGAGTGTCGAAAAGTACTCAAGTACACTTACGTTTATGCATACTACATGAATCCGAATGACACGCTACAGAAGGAACGCTTCGAGTATCACCAAGAGATGCTCGAGAAATTTACTGAAAATCTGAGTGAACAATCGGAGAAGCCTCTGGACAAGATGGACCGAACCGATGTCGTTAATCAAACGCGGGTTGTTGACCGTTTTATGAAGAATATTCTGAAATATGTAGATGAGGGTATGGAAGGGTGATTTTTGATTGGCACGTATTAATTTACTCATTTATATTTTGGGAATCATTGGAAACAAACTTAAAAGGACGATGGCACCATTCGATACACATGGTCTCGATATATTCGTATTCTTTACTCTTTGATGGCTATACGAGACTTTTTGTGATGTAAAATTAAAATAGACTTAATTTGAAGAACTCTGGTTTTTAATTTCAAATTTGTAGCGATCTGTATTAAAATTGTTTTGAGCGTTCTAGTTTGAATCCTATAGCTAGCATGATGATTCATTTGTACAAGTGTTTGATTCCTTAAAGCTTCCATGCAGACTCGTTTGTGAACATCCAAGTGAAGAATCATACACGGATTCTGTTCGCCTTGATAAAGCTTTGTATTTCGTTTGATGTTTGTTACCCCACCGTTATATTCGGCTTCTCGGCAATTCCCATACCGATCAACACGAACGACATATCTTCTTGGGAGGACGATTCGTCTCCGCCCCACCCAGCAGCCATTTTTGCGAGATTGGACGTCGACGAATCTTCTGTAGAAGTCGACGCGTCGTCGTTGACAACAGTTTCTTTCGCCTTTCCCTCTTCGTCTGGAGACGACGGTGATTCAGGAGCAGCAGGCTTGCTGGAAAGTTGAGTCTTTCCTGTAACCTTATTCTTCTTTTTGTTATTGTGACCTTTCAGCTTGCTGTTGTCTGATCTTGGATCTATCTGTGAATTCCGGAAACAAATTTGAGAAATCGTGTTCGCATCTAAATTCAGTTTTTTGGTTGGTCGCGCCGTTGATACGATAGTCTTCATAAAATTGGGTATGTCCACATCGTTGTTTGTTGCTGCGTTGTCGATGTTGTTGTCGAAGTGTTTCTTTAGATAGTGCTCTCGTGGTTTCCTTCGAGACTCGTCGAAATTGGTTTGTACGGCATCGGTATCTGATTCACCTGCCGCTAGTGCTAACAGTCGAGCCCAGTGTGTCTGCTTCAGATAGACAGACCGGAACTTGTCTACATCAAAGTAACCTTTCGGTAAAAACATTTCTTGGCGTTGTTGTTCTTCTAAAACAGATCGTATCGCATACCGAGCATTCGCATGTCGCTGCCGACCTTCGGAATTGGAGGCTATGTGTTCCAACCCACGCCGAGAATGTCCAAATTTGTGCCACCATTTCCCTTGCATTTCGTAAAATTCCTGTGGTTCTGTTTCTGAAACATGGTTATGCAGATGCAAAGGGGGATTCGCCCTAGTTGAAGAGGAATGGGATTCTACCATTGTGTCGTCCCTTGTTGTTGTTGGGACTGTCGCGGCATTGCCGTACTCGCTAACGCTACATGAGCTTGTTGGGGAGGCACAGAAAGGCGTACACTTTGATCGGAGCCATACCTCGGAACCACCCTCAAGCATCGCTTTCGAAATTATTTTTCCAAGCCGTGCAAAGTCCTCATAGTCATTCTTTTGCCACCATAAGCATGCTCTTTCGTCCTCTGATAGGTTCTGCGGTTCTAGTTTTAGACACCTCGCATAGGGCGAAAAGGTCACGAATTTTTCTTTTTTTGACTCCTTCTTCGAGTAGGACTTGGGAAACAATGAGCGTCTCGGAGTTACTGAAGTCTTCTCTTCTGAACTCATGGTATTCTCGTACAGCAGTCAATGGTGAAGGAGCTTCGAGTCCTATTAGCTCGACGAGACCCTCTTGCCTTAATGATGCAGTGATGAGTCGAGGACGAAACTACTGTTGACTGTAGTACATGCACAACGTCACGACACAGACTTTTCGCAGTCGCCAATTTGAATGGCATCCAAATGGTAGAAAACGGCAGACATACCGGTAGGGATTGGCAGGCGTTCGTTAAGCCGCGACTGTTCTGCACGTTCAGGAACTGATGGATTGACCTCTAGTTTCAGTTTTTCATGATCGATCGATACCCACGTGTTTTGTACTGTTTCATGACTCAAAAAATCCCCATTTCCTATTCGCCTCTTCCTTTGTTTTCAAAGGTGAATGCCACGTCAGGTCACGGAATATATTCTAAGGCTTAGACAAAAAAATCGCACATGAGGAAATTTGTTATCTATGACTACGACCAACGCTTTCTCAGTAGGAATAGTACTCACAATTCTGACGCGTTTAAAAAATTGTTCACTGAAAGTTACGAAAACGTAAGTACGGTACGGTAGGTTGAACTGCAATGCATTTCTTGTGGTCATGTTCGTTCTTCTTATTGTTGGCTCCTCATGAGTTTGAGGTTAAAGATGGTTCGTCGTCGCCCTTTCGTTCGCTGAGGAGCTGGGCCTCAGATCCACTCTCCCAAGCAATCACACGGTACTAGTAGTAGGATTACTGCTACAAATGGTGTTGTTGGATTCAAATAGTATGCTCACTGTCCAATATTCCTACAGCCCCAGAGCTTCATCCCCTCCATTTGGCAAAGATCATAATAATATTCATCATTAGCTTCATTTTCACTTTTATTGGGGCAGATGAAGACCTTTTCTCAAAGAACAAGAGGAAGAAGGTTCTTGAGATTGTGTCAACATCCACCATTAGTATGTTGAGCGTTGCGTCGACACTATCAAAGTTGCACCTGTCATTATCAAGGTCTGAATCAACACCAGCATTTGGTGTAGAATCAATCAGGCTGCAGCAGTAAACTTCTTCCATGCTGAATAGATCAGTATACCACATCACTGGTTATCAGGCATGTTGCTTCTTGCAGGTCAATTATAGTGGGTATGGGTTAGGCCAAACCAATTACAAATGTCCTCCTTTTCCTTGGTAATGTCGTTGAAAAGAGAAGAATTGAAATGGTTAAATGCATGACAATTTTGATAGAACACCTTCAGCTTACTATGTGGAGCTGCATTTGCAGACAAGACACATCACAAAAACTGTTGGTGAGGTTTGGTTGCAACAACCCTGCACACGTACATTTTGTGCCACCACTTAACATGGGGAAGTTACTATGATTATCAAGCTTACTGAGGACCCCTTTTTTGTGATTATTCTTTTGACACAATGCCCTTCAGTCTGTACACCAAATTTATTCAACCATATTTAAACCTGTACTCACTCAGTCACTGCTAAATATTTCTACTGGGGGGGGGGGCTGATGATACACAACCTCAGCAGTTATGAAGACAGTAACCTCTGACTATGACTAATATAATCCAAACTCTAGATTTCACACATGTAAACAGTAATACTCTCAAATAATCACAGGTGTAATCACTGTTGTGGAACAATTATTCCGCTACCTTATGGTTTTCATTTTATTGAATGGCAGGCCCCCATCACAACCTCAGAGATGAGAAAATATAGTAGTACTAGTAAGGGTGTTACTATCATTTATGATGAATGAATACTGCAAGTGCTTTTGTGCAATACTATACTTCCTCCAGCAACACAGTCCCCACCACTGCTTCCACGATTACATGGTTTTGGGAACTGTTGATGGGGTCATCAGTTAGGTTCTTATTTTGGTTGAAATTGTTATTTCTTTTGTTTATGGATGCCATGATTCTTGTAACAAAATAATACAAAATTAGTACAACGGAATCCAATGGAATCCAATTTAATCAATGTAGGATTTAGATTCTACTCTGATCCAATCCAACAAAACTTGACATGGGATTGCCTCTCTGTTGGAGAAAATTGATGTTGAATTGTGGTGGGATTGCCATCCAGTCCAATAAAATTGACATTTGAATACAACAAAATTGTCATTAGATTGTGCCTATATTGCCTCCCATTCCAACATAATTGATATTAGATTGCCTTCCAGTCTGAAAAAATTGACATTTGATCATGTTTGGATTGCCTCCTGGTCCAAAAATATCAACAATTCATTGCATCTCATTTCAACAAAATCAATTTTGGATTAAAATCCAGCCAGACCAAATCAACTTTGAATTCAAATTTTTGTTGGGTCAGGTCTGACAAAATTGATATTGGATTGCCTCCTGGTCATACAAAATGACAATGGATTGCTTCCTGGTCTGACCAAATTACCATTTGATATCATCCCGGTCCAACAAAATTGACATTAGATTGCATCCAAATTACCTCCTGGTCCAACAAAAATTGATAATTATGGGTTTCCTCCTGGTTGGATGAAACTGATATTGGATTGCCTTTGTTTGGTCCAAAGAAATTGATATTCTTGAATCATGTTTGGATTACCTCCTGGTCTGATGGATTTAACATCCCGGTCTGACAAAATTCACATCAGATTGGATTTGGATTGGCTCTCAGTTGGACAATAATTGAGATTCAGTTTGACAAAGTTTATATTGGTTTGCCTTTTGGTCCAATGGAATTGACATTGAATAGCATTTGGATTGCCTCCTGGTTGGAAAAATTTTACATTTGATTGCATCCCAGTGCAACAAAATTGTCATTAGATTGCATTTGGATTGCCTCCCAGTGCGGCTACTGTAATGAACATTGCATCATTGTCCAGTCAAATGGAATTTACACTGGATTAAGATCAGATCCTCTTGTCTCACTACTTTATTTGCCTTCCAAACAAAAGGGGGACCAACCAAAATCCTACTCCACTTGATATTCTATTTCAAAACAAATCAATCCTGCTCCATCTGGAATTCTATTTGAATTGAAATTGAATCCTTCTTCTCTGTCCAACACTCTATATTCCAAAACAAATCAAGCCCACTCCATCCAGAATTCTATTTTAATCTAATTTGAATCCTACTCTGTTGGATTTGGAAACAAATCAATCTTACTCTATCAGAGATTCTATTTGGATCAAATTTCAATCCTACTCTGTTTGATGCTGTATTACAAAACAAATCAATCTTGCTCCATCCAGCAATCTATTTCAACAATCAAAGTTTCATCCTACTTCATTCAAAGTTTTATCCCAAAATAAATCAATCCTGCTTCATCTGACATTACATTTGAATTGCAGTTTAATCCTACTCCATTTGATGTTCTGTTCCAAAACAAATCAATCCTTCTGGAATTCTATTTGAATCGGAATTGAATCCTTCTCTGTCCAATGCTCTATTTGAAAACAAATCAATCCTACTTGTCCATTGGGAATTCTATTTGAATTGAAGTTCAGTCCCTCTTTCTGATACTCTTGTCCAAAAATTTATCATGAAGTCTATTTGAATCAACATTGAATCCTACTTCTTTCAACATTTTATTCTAAAATAAATCAATCCTGCTCCATCTGGAAGTCTATTTGAATCAAAATTGAAATCAAAATTGAAATCAAAATTGAATCCTTCTCTGGTCAACACTCTATTCCAAAACAAATCAAGCCAACTCCATTTGAAATTGCTGTTGGCACGCCAACATGACAAAAATACAAGGGGTTCAGTACTTGATTTTTTAAAAAAACGGGTGAGAATTCTGAAAAATCATGACGGTTTTCATTTTTTGTGACGCTATGGGGAGAGGGAAAGTGATTTTGGTAGGAATGTCATTCCAATAGTATTAGGATGATGAGAACTGGAGTGTTGTCTGTTTGGGCAGTGAGAATTCATCAGGTATGCACCATAAGGTTGGGTTAGTTTTAGCTTAAAGAATGAGTAGCAAATCAAGAAACGTGTTCTCAGAAAACAGAGTAAAAATAGAAGTTTGATTCTACACATTCATGACAATTGAATACGGTGTCAAAAGTGAGCAAAAGGTTTTATTTTGAAGTTACAAACTTTGATTTGAAATATAGAACTTGAAATGTCCCAGTAGAAATTCTACTTTGCTCTGGTACTGAGCTGTTTTTTTAGAGCCAGATTCCAAACCAAGAAATGGTTTGAGGTCACTCAATCATGAATCTGGCCTTTCAATCATGAATCTAGCATTTGAATAATGAATGTCATTGAGTCATGCAATGGATACGTATGTACAAGCTCTCCCAAAGATTACATGGTCCCTATCCTATAGTGGAGATCAACACGAATGGAACAGTGGTACTGCAAAGGAGTGACATTGTCCATGAAACAGTGAACATTTGGATGCTTGTTCCTTATAAAGGAACTGTCAATGCTAATCCTGAAGACCCAGCAACAATTGAGGAGGAATCCCCTATTGAAGATACTCAAGATGTTATTGCTACAGTTTAGTTAGTAATACTGAAGGCAGCATTACTGTCAGGGATAATGCAATGCATATGTATGTACAATACGGAAATACAGATTCATATGTACACAAGCATGTGTACGTATACGGAATGAAGGATACGTATGTATGGA